GGTGTCCAGCCGCTAATCAGGAGAACGATTAGGGTTCTCGTCCAAAGCCTTTAGTTCTAAAAAGAACCTAACCGCAAGGCAGCGGGTGAGGCGAAGTGGAGACCCATTTAATTGGATCAATTACTCCTCCACCGCTTTTTATCGACTGAAACGCCAAATTCCAGGCGAACACTCAACCTGGAGGACCAGGAGACTGAACTTCGTCTGACTTCTACCCATTGACCTTCCAGGCATGATAAGATCTCCTGGCTTTATNCTTGGATCGATTACTCCTCCACCGATTTTATCGACTGAAACGCCAAATTCCAGTCGAACCCCCAACCTGGAAGACCAGGTGACTGGACTTCGTCTGACCTCTACCCACTGACCTTCCGGGAATGATAAGATCTCCTGGCTTTATAAAGCCATCCTGTGTAGCTCTTTGGGTCACAGAGGTGCACAAGCCATCACAACACGACAAGGTGTAGTCTCGTAGACATGGATATATATATATATATATATATATATATATAAACGCCGAATGAGACAGTTGTTTACAACCTCTTCGGTCGCTAACATTCGAAGCCGCATCCTTCTCAAGGTGTGATGGGTCGCGAAAAAGGACTGTGAAGGCCGAATGGCATACCATCCGTCTCTACCAAATGAGCAACAATGGAGCTGGATGCTACTCAGCTCCCATCATGAATGAACCAGTGTGGATTGTTTTCTTCGATGCGTTGAAATGACCGCCTTATCGTTCGACTTATGTGCAGTGTGATTGCTCCATCGTTTACCATTGTCTTGTTCCTCTCATCCGTGACTTCGAACACGTAAATTCTCTCTGATCCTCTCCGCGATCTGATTGGATCATTTTCCGCAATTTGCAGCACTTGGAATCCCTCCATTCAGCACAAAACTGTTTGATTACCGGCGTGTACATTTTGAACACCCTTGACTTTCTTCCACCCACCACCTGACTCGGCGAGCATTGCACGCCGTGGCCACCTTCCTGGTGACATGCGTAACACATGCTCCAACCAACCTAATCTATGGAGGTCGAACACTTGTTCCAGTGGACGACGGCGGTGACCTAAAACTCCGCGCCTGTATAATCTTTGGAATATTTGTGCTGCTTGGTGTTACAAAAGGTTAGTTTTACAAAAACGCATCTTCCAAAATTGAAAGAAAAGTGTACTCCCACCGTAGATGCATATGTTAAAAAGTAAATAAACAATGAAAATACCTCAACTGCCTCCGGTCAGAGAGGGAATTGATTCCAGTAGCAGCTAGCCGTGTGACCAACAACCACTGGCTTCAAGTTAAAGGACATACCCCCAGGCTTAACATAACCGGGTGCCAGTTAAAAAGTATTTGGTGTCTTAGCAGCCATGCACTTGAATTCGGACCGTCTTTGATATTCGCAGACTGTCGGAACCGGATCACACGCAAAAATGTAGCTGTGGCTAACCGAGCTCCGAGAGATTCGGTTATGTTTAGTTGGCTTAACCGTCTTGTCAGAAAGTTGCCGGAATGTGGCCGTTGCGACACGTGAGAAACTTCGCGGAGTCTGAGTTAGGTGACTAGGTCGAATCAAAGGTAAAGCTGTTTTGTTGGCACGTGGCAAATTCTGGACCCAAACGATGGCACCAAAAATACAAACCTGACCAGTTCCAAGACGAACGCTGAAATTAAATCCCGATGCCACATAACCAAACATGGAATGATTGGTTTGGAGTTACCCAAGGTGCTTTCGTTTCGTTCAGGCGCATGAAAAGCGCAACGTCGAAGCGATAAGGATTTAAACTAACAAGGAAAAACGGTCGTCACGAGGACTGGTGGGAAAAAATATCATGAACGATCATCTGAACAAAGAAAATTCTTATTTTTTACTCAAAATCGTACTTTACCGTTTTAGAGAGAAATCGTGAAATGAATCAAAGTGGCAAACGGTTATATTGACTGGAAAGTATTGCACGCTCCTGGAAGATGAAGCACAATTTCCAATTTAATAAATATTGTACTGTACTATACTATACTATACTATACTATAGTAAATACCGCAAAGGGAATGTCGGTCATTAAACCGATTTCCCGCAATCAAGAGAAAAACTCCTAAACCACCCATCATCAGAAGTTTTAGACAGGAGACAGAATAACTGGAGAAAACTCGATCACGGTGAAATCAAATCATGTAGAAGAACTCACCGAATTCGCTAGTCTGATGGAGTTCCAGAGGAGACCGCCGAAGAATAACGGAACCTCCGACGGGCAGTGGATGCTGAGTCGGCAGTCCGGTCAAACTGAGTGCGGTGGATAGAGCCGAACGTGAATTGAATGGAGATGGCGTATCTGAAGTCATCAAGGAAACAAGCAGTGGATCGTTTACAGGGCCAAAAAGCTCTGGTTTGGAAGAGCCCAGATAGTGTCTGGCGTTGTTCAATAAATTATTCGAGGAAACAGAGCGACTGGAGGTATGTGGATAGCGGCCGAAGTATTGGCTATTGTCTGGAACATCTGGACTGCCGAAATCAATCATGGTGGAGGCAATTTGTTCGCGACAAACATGTGAAACAAGAAGATCCAGACGTTTCTTGTCAAGCTTCACTGGTGACACCTTCGTAGGGTCAATCGATTTACTAGATTCGGCGAACAAATGTTTCTCAGTCTCGGAAAGAGGCCATTTTGGAAAACCAATCACATGAACTGAATCACTGGGAAGAAAACAAAACAGAAGTACTTCAAAGTTCGTGCACAACCAGAGGAAATCATGTTTCCACAAAATCATGAACGAATGCGAAGGTATCATCAATATAACATTGATGTTATTCATTCATGAATCCTAATAAGTTTCCGTTCAGCCATTGTGAGACCCGTAAACGAAAAGGTTCGCCAATAACACGAGGAAGAAATGTTCACAAATGCATGCTGGACACAAGAAAATGACAAGACATCTGAACTCTTTACGAATGGTCTCCTAACTCTACTGAACCTACCTGCTCAATCAAACCTGGGGTGTCGACATGTGACAAATAATTGGTTAACCTCTACTCAAATCCGTTTACCAAAAATGGCGACAGTATCACCTGGGAATATCGGCCTGATAGAAACATCTAATTGGTCTTTCCCAACAGCAGAACACATAAACACGCCCAAACCAGAGTAGTTTCTTTCGGAGAATGAGGGACTAGACCAACCAGAGTTTGATAATAGAGAGAGCAGTTCGATGAACGCTGCTACATGATACAGAAACTTGACCATTACCGGAACAGCATGAAGATAGACAGTCGACGTTCAAACACTGCTGTACACGCCAGTTTGCACGAGTCTGATGAGAAAACCCGATGATCAGTGTTGACGCGAGGCGTAGGCTTAGGTGATTGCGGTCGTCCACCAATTGTCACCAATCTTCATCAACGCTGTTATTCGGGGGTTGGGGTGGAATGAGTCTGACACTCTGGAGTTAGTACTCCACCGGAATGAAGTTGTAGCCAAAGCCGCCGGACACAACCCAAGACATTTTTTTTACCACTTCCCGAGACCAACAACATTATATCTATGCCAACGGCGAAACATTGGAACAAATGCACAACTTCAAGTAACTAGAGTGAACGATACAGGCCAAGTGGAAAACTCGTCGTGACATGATCGTTTGCCTTATCCGTGATCGATAGCGTACAGCATTCCCCTTCCGAGCCGTTTATGTTGGAGGCTACCGAGGATTGTATGTTTTGGTATTAGGCACTAGTTCAAATGCAATACAAACGATCCCGGATATATATCGTGTACTCGAAATACATTGTCTTCTCTTCTCGAATGGTATAAGTTGCTGAGATGCAAGGATATAAACGTATGAATCATGAAGGTGATGAAATAATTAACAGACGCCAAAAATGGACAAAAGAGAACCAACCACATCTGACAGACTTCGGTCAAAAAACTCCAGTATATATGTGGAAGCAACTCACTTCGATATTGAACCTGAAGAGAGCATTTTCAATATATTCGGCTCTTCAATGGCGTCCGCAGAACTAGACGATCCTGACTGACTGTATGCTTCGCTGCCACCATCTCCGTAGCCACGAAGAGAGCCATTGGGTGAGTCACTTAGAGTCTGGCTGTCCATCAGTGAATCGTCGGCAGGACCACCGAAAAGACGAACCATATAACTATCGAACTGTGAGAGTTCTTCATCTCGTGTAGACACGTAACTACGATCGCGTACAAAATTTGCCCACTGTTGCGTCTCAAACAGAGCCTGATAGAAAGGGCGTGAATGCTTCTCGGCAACCTCCTTGAGAAAACCTGCAATAAGGGACGAACACAAGGTACATCTTTTGCAACCTAAATGAATAACGTAATTTTTAAGTGCAAATGAAAATCTAGGAGAAAAATCGGTGAAAATTTCCTATGACATTTATTATAACCATATTTCACACCCATCTGAGGCCAGACTATGAAAGAATAGAAAATATTTGTGACGATAAGTGCTAGTGCAGAAGTGCAACCAAACACTGGAGACATCTTCGAGGTAGCCTGGTGGAAACATAGCATTCACAATTTTGCACACTCGGCTTCGAGTCGTTAAAAGCGCGGTGGGCCCACACTGTGGAGAATTCCCAACGAGAATGAAATAGTTGTACAGTATCCCGAAGACCCAGCAGAAGCGTACAACGAGTTGAGTGACAAAACGACATTCCAATATAAGCCAAACTCTCATGCTTTGATGCAGTTCAAAACCAGTTAGCAGCCTTAGTCCAATACAACTCCGTAAAGAGAAGAAACAAGCAAGCGTTTATTACTGATCGCGCCGTACCACCGGGAAGGACGGTAACAACGGCGAGATAAGCAGTTCTGCAAAGTATTTTGCTGATGAATGTCAAAGCCATATTCGCACTCTCGGTCTTTGACTTGGTTTCCAGCACAGATCGAACGGATTTTTACTGGCATTGGTATGATGCAAGTATGATAGTGTTCTAACCACATAAACAAATGACCGGTTTTTTAAACGGTCTTCATTACAACGATGAAACCCCGGTCATCGAGGGATCGGTCAGTTGAACCAAAAGAGGTTCGACGTCGTGACTGAATGGGAGCAGCGCTAATCATTTGCATGTTTCAAAAATACATTTGGAAACGCAATAAGCTTCAACAAAATTCAATGGGTTGATTCAAGAGGGACGCTGTCAGGGAATCAGCGTATCCCTTAAAACTGGTATATTCAAGAACAACCACTTAGATTGAAGAAAACCCAAAACCATTGATTGGCAAGAATTCACATCCTATTAGGACGGCTGGAAACGATCCGATCAATCAACCACGGAGTAAATGCCCCTCCTTGCATCCTTTCTTGCAGATAAGCACGTTTTGTGCAATAGATGAAGTCCTCTACGCTCACGGCCGTGTTGCGGTTCACCGCATGTGGACGAATGATGTTATCAGAAAACGGTTATTTTTCCAATCTCACACCGAGACGACTCGTGCAGTTAGATGCTTCCAACATATCATCATCACCATAGAGCGAGATACAGTGAAGCGAACCTCGCTAATCGTTACCAAGCCCACAATGCACACAATTTAAGCGATAAGGTACAACAGGGAGAGGGATTGGACATAATTGGAGGGCGGAAAAAAAAGTGAAGCTCTTTGGTCAATACACAAAGTACACAATCTAACTATGCGTACATGCCGTTTCAAGCATTCTGACCAGATAAGAAGTGATAACAAGAATGTCACCGCTGACGGTTAGTTGCCACATCCTTCAGCATATTCAACCAACAAGTTATAGGGTCTTCTGGACCCCAATCTGGAAGACGGAAGACACCTATTCTATCTAATCGCTCTCTGCATTTCGTCATGCCTCGTTTCCAAGTCGACACCATGCTCGCACATGAATTCAGGTGAAATACCGATGATGGGGGAAGGTCACATGCAAGGATATTTATTGGTCTTACACAGGAAATCGGACTTCTCCGCCTTACCTTAGCTTTTTCTAATAGTTCATTAATAAGTCATCCGGATGTTTATGCTGGCTAACCTGACACTTTTGGAAACGATGATGCAACGAAAAATGCCGACAAAAGATGTAAATACCAGTGGTATCATTTTTACACATTGGTACGAATTCATTGAAAAAATCCCTGTTGTCATGGAACAATCTCGAGGTACTGCTCGTCGAAGATTCATTTTACAATTTAGCTGGATGAAGGAACGAAGAGTTTCCTGTATACAACTGAAGGATAGAGGAAACGTTGTGAAGGTTATGATGTTAATAATACAGCGATGTCGGTAGAGAATTACATTAGCCGCCGTGTCCGTTACCGTGGATAACCTCTCGCAAGGCAGGTTTTACAATTAAATGAATCATTTGAAGCTCGAATTAAATACTGAGAAAAGTGTTGATGTGATTTGGTACGTGGCACCATCGACAGCGGTAAATTCAGTGTACTGGCCAAGCAGGTTTTCTTCGACTGTGACTACCGGGAAGCATTTGGAAACGCCGGTATTTCTCACGATAACGCTCCTTGTCATGTTCCATGAATGGATTCCCGTGGAAACGAGTTAGAAATTAGAATGTATTGTTTTCTCGCACTAAAAAATTTGGGCTGGAGAACTCTTAAGCTGAAGTGGCGTATCTGTGTTAACGTTTTACCGTAGAGGTACAGAAGGCCTGACGGGTCAGGGGCATGAGGAACTACGTTTTTGAGGTGTTTGTCTCTAGATGAGTGATCTTTGTTTCACATTTCAAGCGACCGTTGTAGACTATACAGATCGCTGGCTACAACGGCAATGTCATCGACAAATTCGAGGTAGGTGATCCAAGCTTTCTTACTGAGATCACATGTAGGCGAACATGTTTTAGGTGAATTCCTTTTCAAGCCTTTACAATCACATTTATACAAGACAATTTCAGTAGGGTCAAACAGATGAGTGGATAAGTTATTAGTGTGGTAGTGAGCCTGAGAGAACTTAAATTGATACACTGCTTGGGTTACCTAACCAAAATTCCTTATGTTACATCATGGTCATATCAAGAAGCGACTTCCTCTTCCTTTGGCCAGGAAGTTTGAGAGTTTGGCTTGATTTTCGTTGTGCGCACAGTTCGGCTTCGTGAGTCACTTCTGCGGTCGCTAACTTCCGAAATCGTATTGCTCTAGAAGGATGTTGTGAAACTCGATAAATGATTGCGAATACCGAGCGCATGTCAAACAAGTGTCCCGTCTCTACCAACATGTGAACCAGCGTGGATTGTGTTCTTTGATAGGTTAAGATAACTGGAATTTCGTTCGATCTACATCTGTGCACATGAATTGATAGACATTCATAGATGAGTTCAACATAAGCAGCTTATTTCTGTTGTGGTATAGAACACATATCTTGGGTGGGCGGCATTAAAGGTGGATTTCAGAACAGCGGACAAAACTTTACTGACCCTGTCAGCGACAACATCTTTGAATGGAAGTTTTACTTAAAAAATACTTTCTTCTCTGATTATGGTATTTTTGTCAGCTTACTCTGTGTAGTCCAATTAGGGTCGATGAACTTCTCAGGATAGCCATTTTCCAGCAAAACCCTCCTCACTAGCTCAAGTTCGTCCTTTAAAGTATCATATGAACAGATACGCCTCGCTATCTGCAGGAGACATCATGCGAGTTTGCGTTTTTGATAGAGTGGGACGAAGCTATAAAAATGTATGTTCTGTTTATTTCATGTTGCTTTCCAGTATATCTTTCGCTAAAGAGAGCTATATGGGTGTCTGGTCAGATGAATATCCAAGAACGAGAGGCAATCATCCCACTCCAGTTCAGTTGTGAACTTAACGGACGAATGGGCTACGTTGAATTCAGATTCAACATGGTCAAGATAGTGTATTTGTCGACCCCACAAAAGACATCATCTACATAAGTGATGTTGTTCAAAACAACTAACAGACGTGAATAACGAAGTTGTCTGTAACTTGGTCATGAAGATATCAGCTAGATTAGGTTCAAGAGATGAAGCCATAGCAACACCATCAACTTGGCGGTAGAATGTGTTGTACATTTCGTGTGCGTTTGAGTATGAGTTCTTTAATATTGAAATTGTTTATTACTGTGAGACTTGAAAAGGAATTCACCGAAAACATGTTTGCCTACATCAGCGGACATATTTCATGATTTGTGATTGATTTGAAATCTTCGGGACTCAGCAACAGCGAGAGGTATTACTCGGTCCAAAGCATATTTGAATAATATTGGTGACAGGATAACCCTGGCGGACAGCGGGAACAAGCAGAAGTTCCGAACGGACGCTTGCTTGAGTTACACTCTAGGGAGTTTATCAGCCTGATGAGCTTCTCAGGTATGCCATCGGTGTGCAATGCACTTCACTCTGATTGTCTTTTGACAAATTGCAGTGCGGAAATGAACCAAGTACGCCGAGATTCGCTGTTGGAACGTATGTCGATGCAGAGAAAATCACACTGCTTTGTGTCACATTTAGCTGCCATATCGATGAGGCCCTACGATTACCAATACTTGCGGTGCAGATAAATCGATACACCA